ATGAGCTGCTTGTTCAAGGTGATTTTAAAGTTTTATATGAATATTCACTAAGCAAAGTCAATAGTTTCCCTTAGGTATGTAAAGAATGTAATTTAAGAAGAAGCAAGTGTTGGGACTTTATGGAAATGGTATCTATATAGTAATGGCTAGGATTTTTTTAATTAACAAGATGGCAGTTTAATCCTGTAAATACATCAAATTCATAAACTCTCTAATTAGTCTCAATATGGATGAACTTGACATAAAGGTCCCTACTGTTCACTGTTGCAAATTCTCAGGAGGCAGTTTTAGATGTGGCCATCAGTATGGACCATGAAGACAATAGAACCAGCTAGGTTAGCAGGAGCCTTTGGGAAAGTCATTAGCTTTGATTTAAAAGTCGATTGATAGGGAGAAGAACGACCAGAAGCACTCAAAGTTTTCTCTCCTTTTGGATTATAGAAAGTATCCATGTGAAAATTTTAGAATTATTAAATGAACATTGTTTTAAAACCAATTTAGGAGTAGAAAAATAGGCCTGTAAAATTGTTTAAAAATGCTTCATCCCAAGAACCTAGTGTTTTACTTTGTTACCATCAAAGAGGCATTTCCACTTTCTCTTAGGTACTAGGAATATGTTCAGGCAAGAACTGAGGGCACTAGTTATTATATGCCTATTCTTTTTTAGTTATCTTTTCTATATGCCATGTCTACATATCATTTGGACTGTTTGGCATATAATTACATTACTCACAACCACAATGGACCAAGACTTATTGACTGTCTCCAAATAGTACACATTATTAGGTTATCTTAATGACCGAATTAAATGCACCAAATTGATTTAGACTTTAATGAATTCAGTTGATTTTCAAATGGTCATTAATAGTCAAGTTGATTTTATTCTAGATAGGTTTTGTCGCATAGTATTCCGCTCTGATATGCAAACAGAGAAAACTAAAGGTTTTTTTTTTTTTTTTTTTTTTTTTTTTTTACAAAATGGAGCTCTTTCATGGTTTTATCACAACTAACAATTTCCCATGTGAAATTTGCTTTTCTTTTTCAACAAATCCAGGTCTTGGATGTTCAGGAAACTATAGATCGTCAACAGGGTAAAGAGTATGAACATGACCTTAGTGAGACAGAAAAAGCTATAGTCAGAGAAATGTGCAATGTAAGTTTAATGTGCTTTATTGTGTATTCTGTGTTGAAAGCCTCATCATAGCTTAGTTATTGCTTTATGACTACTTTAAAAGTGCTGACCAAATGTCTTCACATTTTTATAGTACAATTGCCTTTGTTTTTATCTTCAATGTTTTATTGCAGGTTTATTAAAAATAATCATAAAATATTCCATCAGAGGGCTGGGGATGTAGCTCAGTAATAGAGCTCTGCCTAGCATGTGCACAGCCCTGGGTTCAATCCCCAGCACTTCAAAAAAAAAAAAAAAAAATCAGAAATGATCTGCCAATTCTGTATTCCAGAATGATCTATGAACATTTTCTAAATATTTGTTGCCTAAATGGATTGTCACTTAAGACATTCTTTAAAGATCAGTGTTTAAAAATAGATAAGACATACCCTTCAGATTTATTTGTATCTATTCTTGAAAATAATGAACTTTTTGGTAATGTTTGCTTAGTTCTTCATGTCATGAAAAATATTGTCTTTATCTTTCACTAGTTGCCATGAACTCAGGGTATAGAAAGGTGATCCATGCGTCGAGAGGAGCACACAGAAAGCTATTTTCATAAAGTATATCCATTGTAATTATTAATGTGAATTTTAATTGCTGACTAAATTTTTAAGGACACAATTTGTGAAACTTTAAAGAGCTAATTGAAATCTGATAGAGGAAGCCATTTGTTAAATTCAAGAAATCATGGTTAAGCACTGATCATATATTAAGCAACTAGTTGTAATTGGCTTTATAGTATACTTTTATCTTTCTCTTCTCCATTAGGATAGCAAACTTTCTTAGACCTGAAGCTAAAGGGTATTTCTGTTAGAACCAGATATTCTCAAACCTTTATTGACCTCCTTGAGATGTTTCTGGAATCCAGTAAATGTTAACACGGGTCCCATGGGCATTTTATATGTGCTGTGGTGAGATTTTTTTAGCTCCTGCTTGCCGGTGTTGTGGCTGCTTTTTATTTTGCAACCTTTTCCAAGTTGTGTGTATTTTTTTTCTTGCATATCTGTTGTCTGTTTTAAAAATATAATTAGTTAAAGACGCCGTAATTTCCTAAAACACCCATTTTTTACCTTCTGTAGTTTTAACTTGAATATTTTCCTTAGATAAAACATTGAGCTACATGTCTGAGTGCCTGTTACTTCTCATCTATTGACACTGTAATCAGCAATAAATTTCAGACAATATGAATTATAGAACTAGAAGGAACCTCAGTCATCCTCTTGTGATCTGCAAAGAGTATGGCGCTCCGGGGTAATCAGATAAAGATGGAGTTTCATCTAATCACCTCTATCCACAGGTGATTCGGATAAGAACTCCAACTTTCACATTTTATGTTTGAATGAACCAAGATCCATACATGAGATCTTGAATAATGAAGTTGGGAGTAGGCCCAGATATCTCCTAAGGACTAGCTCTTTCCCAAGTTCAGAAATCATGGAATTTCCTAAAGAACAAAAAGCACTAATATCTCAGTGCCAGGATTGTTTCTTGTACTCCCTTATAAAGGATTTCTGGACATGAGAAAATATATTTTGTCTGAGAAGAAAGCAACCACTGCATTGGTCTTGAAGAGCTTTGTGTTGATATTTTTGTTTGCCTGTATTTCCATAAATGCTTCAAATAGCATCATACAGTGCCGATGTTTTTCACTATGTAAGGTCCTTTAAAAAAAAAAAAAAAACTTACCTTCCTTGTTTATGTTAAAAGTTCTTTAGTGTATCTTTTCTAACTGTCTACTTTTCTCCTTGATTCCTAGAACTTGAGGGGAAAAAATACAATCCTAACCCTATGATTCTTAATACTTCTTGTCTTTTAAATCATTTTCAAATATGAGTGCTTAACTTAAAATATTTGTCACCATTATACCCATATACCAAGATGAAAAACACAGTAAATACTGAAGAGAGAAATGCAGATTACAGGGAAGTTTCATAGATAATTTGTCAACCTAGTAATGATTATGAGGCCTTGGGCTCATAATGCTATATGCTTTTATAAATAACATGAAAACCAGTTTTGCATAAGGTCAGTTGTAAGACTGAGGGAAAAGTTAGGATAAGAGGTTTTGCCATTATTTCTGATATTCTTCCTGGAGATAAATCATTGCCTTCTGTATAGTGGAACAATGATGTGGGTTAGTAAGCATTTACTTGGTAATTCTCTTCCCAGAGAAAATGTTTGTAGTAATGCTTTCGTTTTATTTGTCTGTTTAGCTTTTGTAAACTCACTGATGAAATACTTGACCAGGGATTTCAGTCATGCTCTCAAATGCACACCAACTAATTTATTTTTTTCAGTTACCCAGTCCCTACTCCTGTGTCCCCCTTAGGATCATTGGTTTAATTCAGACTTCTGCCACTGTTTCCTTTCTCTACATCCTGTTTGGGTGAAGGCCCATTGTGCTTCATATTTGGACAATTTATGAAGAGTTGCACTTGAGAATGGCCAGCTGATGCTTTGCATCTCTGATCCTTGTAAGGCCTTAAAGTTCCAATCCACACATTCTGGGAAGTAGACTTACATTGAGGGGCTAAAAAGGCAAAGTTCATAGTATCTTTTGGCTTGCTTCCCATTGCTCTATAATTCCTTTCCTAATATTCAAGGACCATAGCTGTAATTCCCCTCGAGTACAACAGGACATTGCTGACAATAGTGGTATCTGCTGAAATGCATACTAATAGTTCCCTTGGCCTAGAAATGAAGATAGACCTTTGTTCTTAGTAATAAGTGAGTGGTATTGTGTTTCCCTGGAACATTCACCTACTTATAAAGCAATAGCATAATAAAAAAAACAGTCTGAGTAACTAATGAAGAAACCAGTTTTTTTTTTTGTTCCTGTGCGAACATTGTCAATTTTTGTGGAATTAATCTGACATAATCCTCATAGTGAAAAACTCTTAGAAGGTTTTGGCTGTTGTGTGTGCATGCATGTGGGTCAGGATTACTCCAATTTATATAATGACAGTATACTGGTGACTTGCTTTTGTTTTTCTTTTGGTACTGGGCATTGAACTTGGGGCCACTTGAGACAGGATCTCACGGACTTGCTTAGTGCCTCACCCTTGCTGAGGCTGGCTTTGAACTCATGATCCTGCCTCCCCCCCCACCCTCGCCCCTGGTCTCAGCCTCCTGAGATGTTAGAATTACAGGCTTGCTCCACCGCGTCTGTTTATACTTATTTTTGATCTCACTTTTGCAAACATCCCTCTAATGTGTCCCAATTTTTAACAGGCTATAACTGTCTTTCAAAGATCTGTTGCCTATGTTTGGATGTTTTGTTTTTAGCAATCTGAAAGAATTATTTAGTAGCTAAGATTTGTGACCACCAAGGCTCCTGCTTGTAGAGAGTTCCACCGACATTTACTAAGAGCAGCTCAAGAACAAAAGCTCCTTCATTTTCCTAAGTGAATTAGACACTTCATGGATGCTTTAGGATGATCTTGCTAAAGGGTTCTTAATTCTGGCTATGCATCCGAATCACTTGGGGAGCTTTAAAGAACAAAACAGATGCCAGTGTTCACCTCCAATGAGGTAGGACTTACTGTTGAAGAGTTCCCTAAGAGCTTAGCATACAGCCAGAGTTAAAGAACACGGTGCCCATTTACTCAAGTGGTCCTTAATTTTGACTGTGGTTGCTAGCAAGGTAGAACAGTCCTTATGCTTCAGAAGCTCATCCCATCTTGTGTTTGAACTCATTCGTGTGAATATTTTGTCTCTTGTCTCCACATCCATCTTTGCCCCCCGCCCCCCAAAGTCCCACCTTGAGACCTACAAATCCCTGTGAAAGGACAAAGAAGACACTTACTCTCTACCCTTCTTTTTTAAGGTTGTGTGGAGGAAACTTGGAGATGCTGCAGGTTCGTGTCCTGGAATTAGGCAACATTTATCAGGAAACCAGTACAAAGGACCCATGTGAGAAGCCAGCCCTCTTTTTTTCAAACCTGAGATCACCACTGCCAGATGGAGATAAAGGAAGAGAAGAGTGGATTTCCACAAACCTGGACTCATGGAATAATATGGAGTGATTGTACATTGCACAAATCTCCCCTCTGAAACCACCCTCAGTACCATACTTCCCCCATCAAGCTGATATTCTGTGTCTCACTTTAGTGTTCATGACAAACAAGTTAGCTTTGGGAAAAAAGAGTCACCATTTTGGTACCACTGTTTTCATTAGAACAAAAGCATTTTTAACTCCCCAGAACTGAGAATTGGGAAACCTGCATGGTTGGAAAGAGTTGACTCATAGCATACAATGGGTGGGAACTTTCTACCAAGCTGTATTGGAGAGGTTTGCCAGCTACCCAAAGTTGAGAGTTGGGCACCTTCTTATACTTCCCTTGAGAAAAGTTCCTGATGCATCCTTTATTTGGATGCAAATAGATTTGATCTCTGGGGTTTTATTTTGATTTGAGGTGCTACGAAGACCACATCATTTCTCTTAGCCAGCTAGAAGGGTAGCAAGAGTTTGTAGAGTGCCTATCATAGTACCACTTACTTTGATTGATCAAAAAATACCTTTTAATCTTGATGAGTTGCTCATAAAAGCACATTCTGGGGACAGACCAACCTCTACATTCATTCAGTATATCAATTTCAACTAAACATAAATTTTTGTAAGTGTTTTGAGCTGTGAGATGTCAATTTCTACAATTTAGTTTCTAGACATGCTGTATATTTAATAAACTTTATGTAAACTTTACAATATTGCACTGCATTTATTGAAAAAAGCTTTCTTTGCCTACCGCAGCTATCTAGCATTTTCTGAAACTAACGCATGTCCTTCATTATTAAGGCTAAAAGCTCTTCAGATTGCTTGAGGTTTGAAACAGAGGTGTGTTAGCTTTGCTTAGTTTATTTCCTATTTTTGGTATATATACATATATTAGAATGTGTATTGGAAATGCTACGATAGGTATTTGTGTTTATCTAAATGCAATGATAGTTTCTTGTATGAATGTGCAAGAGGCCTGTGACAGAATGCTACGTTTTTACTGTAGTTCAAGATTACAAAAGTAGGGATGCAACAATTTTTAGGCATCTTCTAAATTATTCAGATTTGGTTCGTAGCAAATATTCATTGTTTTAAAGTGGGCCCATTACACAGTGTATTAATGCTCAATGGTGAGAGAATGTAGAGGGATTTCATTAGACTTTAAGAAAGAGCTGTTTTTCATCAGTTACCCTATTTTCAGAAAATAATTTATTATAGAATTATTTCTATCACAATTGGGTTAGTTTAAGCTGCTTTCTTTTAAAATGTATTTTTAAGTATTACTGTGTTAAATTGGTTGCTATATTTACACCTTCTCTCATAGAAGTGCTTTTATCCTTAAATTGTTGTATTCCTACACTCGAAAATGTTTAAAACAAGTTTTTGTGCCTGCAGCTGAACCTGCAGAAGCTAATACAAGGGACGCTGGTCTTTTGCAAAATACTTGTGTAAATTTTGATACTGTATTAAAACTATTTTTTTAAAGTACCACATAAAATTGAGTATTAAGTATGTGTTCATCTTAGCAATGGTAATAAATTATTTAATCTCAGTGTTTTTTGTCTTACTCAAAATGTTGTTCCTTAAGTTGAGTAGATGTCTGTTAATTATCTTAACACTCCCATGGGATGGTGGTAATACAGATAATTATCTTAAATATAAAACAAAAGTCGTTTTTAAAATGTGCTTATAATGAGGTATTTAATACTCAGAGATTTCTTAATTTGCACCATTCACTATCATAATGTAGTTAAAATTTTAGAATGATCTTTAGAGATTTTTTAAAATTAGTTTGTGATAAAGCTGTCTTTTAATCCAGAAGGATTAAAATTAAACTTAATTTAGTTACCAAGTTATTAGAACATTAGTCATTCCCTTCTAGTATATTGCCTAAAGAAATAGTAAAACTAAAAAGCTTACACACCATTGGAAAAATATACACATGACCTATACATAAATAGAATACACATACTACTTGGAAATCAGAAATAACATGGTGGAATAAGACTCCATACACTGAACATTAGCCCCAACTTTAAATGACATAGTATATCAATCAAAATGAGTGGCACTCTTATGTGATCATTTTACAAGTTTATGATCTGATCTTCCCTGGGACAAAGGTTAATTTCTATATCATGGCAGAATATTTTTACCAGTCTGAAAGCTGAGAGACTGACAATCAGAATATAGCTTTTAATGAATGCCTTTCACATTTTTAGCACATGCTTAAGGCACTGTAGAAAATGCAGATTATCTTATGTGACACTTGGTAAAATACTGACAGTTTAATTGGGATGATTGTTCCTTAGTTCAATGAACACTTAATGAATGCCTACCACTGCCATATGTGTAAATACAGCTTTGGTCCCCGATTCATGGTGCTGGTTGCTTAATACACACATGAAGAATACTATCTTCGATCTAGTGAAAGCTTCCTTAAAATCCAGGTACGATTGCTTCAAACATTCATTTTCTTGATCTGAGGAAGCAGTAAACCTAATTATTTCCCCTAATTACCAGAATTTGCACTCTGCCATAAGCTTCCTCCTCCCTCTACCTCAGGGACCAACTCTTTTTTTTCCATGAGAAACTTTGGTAGCCATTCCTGGAAAGATCGGCCTGCTTTATTCTGGCTTGTCAAGGTGAATTCCTAGCAGGCTCAAGGCACCTCTGAGGAATGCATGTGTTGGCTACTAAAAAGTAAAATCTTCTCCATTCTGTTTCAACCKAATTTTGCTGTCTTTAAAGACGGCCATTGTTGACCATCTTTCGACTGCAAAAACAAATACAGTTCAACCTGGTGAGATTTTGTTTTGGGAGTGAGAATTTGAGAAAATACAAGTTACAGAAGAGAATCATCACGTTGAGATGGAGCCATAGTAAAGTATGCTGACTTATGCTGAATCAATATTTGACTTTAGACAGGCAGATGTCTGCAAGCTCAACATTTGACTCTAACTAGCCGAGTTTGAACAGCTTCACTGAGCCTCAGTTTCCTCACATAACAAATGAAGGTAACATCTACATTGCCGAGTTGTAAGATTCCTCCTTAAGACTAAGACCATTGAATTTCAGAGTTAAGAGTCAAGATCCTTGGGTGGTGGCAATTTATACCATTTGTTCAGGATGGGTAGGTGGGAAGGGTGTGTAGAGAAATCAATGCTGAAGGGACTATCTACTGCTACATAAACATTCTAGCTGTACAGTTGCATATCAAGTTTTTTATACATAACAAGGCCCATGGTAGGCTGAATTATGACCCATTACGGATGGAGTAAAAATATACATTGACCTGATTCTCCTATGTTTTAATAAAACAATTTCCACTACTAGCTAATTCTATATCTTACATATCCCTGGGAAACATTAGATTTTTACTTCAAAATGGCAGAATGAGTACCTGATACAACATCCCTCTTCTTGCCTCAAGCCTTGAAAATGACTTAAGATGTTTTCATAAATCCATGATTACACTAGACCATGACAAACAGTGTACTGTATGGGCCAGTGATTATAATACATTTTTGAAAGATAGACAAATGGAGCAGAGTGAAGCACAAACCCAGAGTCCAAGATACACAAAAGAAGGTACTGTTAAAAAAAGACAGCTGCAAGGGTGCTCCAAACAAGGAAGTTTGATACATGAGTCTTGGGATCCTGAAGTGATTGTCAATAGCTGGGCATTTTGGGGGTGGTGAGGGGGACCTGGGGATTGAACTCAGGGGTGTTCTACCACCGAGCCCCATCCACAGACATATTTTGTATTTTATTTAGAAATAGCAAAACTGAGGCACTAAGCAACTCAGTAAGATCCTAAGGCTGGCTTTGAACTCCCGATTCTCCTGCCTCAGCCTCCCAAGCTGCTGGTACTACAGGAGTGCAACACCATGCCTGGTTTAGCTGGGCATTTTGACTTCTGCATACAACCACTCTGTGCTTGGGTAACACAGAGCAATAGAGAGGATTTCTTCCAGACTGGAACAGAGCAAGGTACTTGAATTGGAGAAAGGAGAAAAGGATTCTCTATATTCAAATTATTAGCAATGAGCACAGCCACCTAGAAGTTTCTCCCACCATCTCCTTCACACTTAAAGAGGCCTAACAGGAGTTGGGGTTGTGGCTCAGCGGTAGAGCGCTCACCTACCATGGGTGGGACCCTGGTTTAATCCTTAGCATCRCATAAAAAAATAAAGGTATGTGTCCAACTACAACTAAATAAATTTTTTAAAGAAGAGGCCTAAAAGCCTGCCCCACTTCTCCAATGTGAAAATTATAGAATAAATATAACAGGCTAATATGGAAATTTTAGTACAATTTTAGTACAAAAATGTGAATACAATCAAGAATCACCCAGCATTAGTGGGAAGCCACAATTATTAATCGGAAACACAAAACTCAGCAAAGAAAAGAATGTACCAAGGGGGGGGAAAAAAAAACCAAGAACTTCAGAAGTATAGCTGATAATCTCAATAAAGATGCAAATATTACCTTATTAAAAAGGCTTAATTTTGAGATTCAAGGTGGCTGAAAAGAAATGCCCAACACTTACTACTTCCTCCAAAAGGAGGAACCAAAGTAGCAGATCTATAGCTACATTTTGAGGGGAGTGATCATAGGAGAACACTGGAAATCAGAGGCCGAAACTTAAGACTCAGATCTTGGACAACAGCATAGTAAAAGGAACAAAATCCCCTGGTATCTGCACCATGGCTTCACCGTTGGGAGAGGGAGTCTCCCCTTTGCAGGAATAAGGATGAAAGAATTCAAGCAAACTCTTGTCACTGCACGTGCCGTCAGTCCTGGCTTCTGGAAAGTTTCACAATCCTTATAAGCTCTGAGTCCGTTTAGATAAGTAATCAACATCTGCACAATAGCATTGCTTTGGGAAAGAATCTCACATCACCTAGCAACGAACCCTCAGTGTGCTATAGCCAGGAGTCAGCTAGAGAAGGGAGCTATTGTCTGAATTTGTATTGCTCTAAGGGTCAGAAATTCCTGCACATTCCCATTTCCATGGTTCCACAGACATTCCACTACATTGGCATGGTGGGCAGCTGCTTCACAAACCCAACTTGGTCCAGACCCAGGATACTGATTGTGACCCGAGCCTGCTGGGTGTCCTGCGCTGTAGGCAGGTTATTGTGATATGGAGGGGAACAGAGGGTACTACCCACACGTGGACTCATGCCAGTGTTAGGACTGAAGGTAGACGCCGGGTTCCTGCCATCCCTGCCCCTGTACCACTCTCAAGCTCCTATTACTGACAAGGTGGGAAGGGAACACCAGTTCTCACGACRGCCCTCTACAATGGGCCATACTGCGGGAGTCTTGATCAACTCCATGGTACGCTACAGAAGTGGGCCAAAAAGCAACTTTACTTGGCTCTAGCTATGTCCCACTCCTTCTTGCTCTCGGGCAGGCACAAAAACTGAAGGAGTTGGAGGGATAAAATCCCAGCAATTATCCCTGTCCATGGGTGTGCACAGCCAAAGGAGGCTCCCAAAGAAAATTTTCCCAGCTCTAGCCTGGGCAGGAATTGTCACCAAAGAAGCAGTTACCCCCCTCCATTACCTCATCGTAGCCAACACTGCTACCAGGTGGGAGCAACACAGAGAGTGTGCTGTGGTTTCCCCTATGGCCTCTCCCTGTAGAACAACTGAGCCGACCCCTCTGATTGGTCAGAAGTCAAATTCTTCAGGCTCCTCCCCACTACAGGGGCTTCCAGTACCAGGGCCCCTTGCTAGTACCAGGGCTAGTATCCATAGTGCCTGAGAAAACGCCAATCATCCTTGCATTGGGGACTACCACTCCTATTATAAAGGTAGCCACACAGCGAGAATCCCATATGCATTCTGTCTATACCACAACTACTTGGTAAAGTCTCCATTCTCATGGACTACAGAGACCTGGGTCTCTTCAATTCTGCCATGGTATATTCTGGCTCCAAAGTCATTTATTACAGCCATAGAAGTTATAAGGAGACTATACTTTGGTGCACATCTAGAATCAAAGCCAACATTGCATAACCAACCCACCCCCCAAGGCACAGCTTTGGGATTCAGCCACTTCCTAAGAAGGCCGCCTCATAAGAGTGGTAGAGAGATCTGCTCTACTAGGTGGCCAAAGCTCAACACAGGAGCAAAATACAAATACACAAGGTAATATATGCCTTCAAAAGAATATAATAATGTTGTAGCACAGATTCCAAAGACAACAAAGTGAAAGAAATTCTTGATCAAGACCTTAATAATTATAAAAAAAAAATTTAGTAGCTTCTAAGAATACAAACAGTTAAAAGACATTCAGAAGACAAGTCAGGATATGAATGAGAAATTTAGCAAAGAGAYTTTGAAAAAGAACTGAACTGAAATATTGAAAATGAAGAGCTCAATAGGTCAAATGATAATAGAATTAAAAGTCCCCCAAATAGTCTAAATCAAGTGGAATAACAAATATCTGGTCTTTTGAAATACCCACAAAAAAAGAAAGAGGAGGAAGAAGAAGGGGAGGAGAAGGA